TAGAATCTGCCGAAACCTCTGAAAGTCGAAGGTGTATTCCGAAAAAAGTGAATTGGGAAATGAGAGCAGAAGAAAAAACATTTTGTGAAGAAGTGTCTTTGAAAAATGAAGAATACTAATGCTGCTGCATATGATACAGTGGCGCACCCCGGGGGGGGGGGGGCTATCGGGAAAAACGAAGCAACATCAAGGCGTGGCAACCTGACACCATATTTTTTTTTTTAGACTTTCATTCTACAAGCCACAGACTATGTGGCCACCCCCAAACATATTTTCTGGGTGCGCCACTGATATGGTACATGGCATATTGGCCGGATCATTGATTACATTTGACAAGATAAAGATATACAAATAGTTGCAAAAAATATACCTACAGGGTGTCCCACTGGAAACCAAATCCATCCATATATGGAAGACTATGCAGAAAATTTTTGAAAATTTGACAGTATAGGTGCAATGTCAGTAGGAGCTAAAATATTTTCAAGATGGTGGCACTTCCGGTTATACCAGAAGTAGACAACTTGCTTATTTTAAATGAGACACCCTGTATGTGATTGCATATTTGGATTCTACGTAAAATTCTGAGCAGATTTCATGTTATATACCCTATACCCAAGTTCAACTGTTTTGGAAATATTGTAACTTTGACTGGGTGTAAAACCTAGACGGTGGATTTTAGAGGAAAACCGATTCCACATTCCTGTCTTAGATTTTTATAAACTATCATTTAACGCCATTTGATCTAATCCATGATTAAAAATTCCAATTAAATTTAATCTCCGGTTAAATTCAAAGTTGATGGGAAATGATAGTTTATGGAAATATAAGATAGGAATGTGAAATCGGTTTTCCTCTAAAATCCACCGTTTGGGTTTTACACCCAGTCAAAGTTACAAAAAGTCAATTTTCAACTGTCAATATTTCCAAAACAGTTGAACTTAGGTATAGGGTATATTGCATGAATTTGCTCAAAATTTAACGTAGAATCCAAATATGCAATCACATAGGGTATCTCATTTAAAATAAGCAAGTTGACGTCTACTTTCGGTATAACCGGAAGTGCCACCATTTTGAAAATATTTCAGCCAGGTTGCCCCTACTGAAATAAGCACCTATACTGTCAAATTTTCAAAAATTTTCTGCATACAGTTTTCCATATACGTACCTATAGATCGATTTGGTTCCCGGTGGAACACCCTATATATATGGTCCTTTTCATCTCAGAAAGCAAGACAAGGTGGATATTGAGAATAGGCTCAGGATCTTAAAAAGAAAATGTATCCATTCAACTTTGTTTTAAATTTATTATAAGTATAGAGTCTGTTCCTCATAATTAGTGCGGCTTCTACAACTTGAACAAAAAAAAAAGTTAAATACAAAAGTTGTAGGGTATTCTCTCTATTATTTTTTTGGCTAGCATGATTGATCTTTCCCTTCTGATTCCAAATATACCATACCAAAATTGCATTAAGTAAGCCTCACCATTGATATAAGGAACCGAGAACCGACCTAATTAGGGTAATGTAAATGCATTTTAAAACTTAGGTATCGTAAAAACAGCTGAACCAAATATCAACATATATGGTATATTTGGAATCAGAAGAAATCTATCATTTTATTCAAAAATATACAGGGTGTTCCATTTGAAAAAAAGTGTTTGTCATTATGTTTGTTGACACCTGCTATTTGCCCGTTTTGACATTTGCATGTGCAAAAGATGATAGAGATAAAAACCCTACAACCTTTGTATTTAACTTTTTTTATTATTTTTTTTTGTTTAAGTTGTATATCCTTAAAAGAATAGCAAAATATATTTGTCCATATTTTTACTCGTATTTTTATTTGTGGGTTAATACATAAAAATCTATAATCTGATGGCCAAAATAAATAAATATGTTCCTTAGATAATAATATGTCAGTGTAACTCAGTAACTCAAGCAGCTACCAAAAATCTTTCTCAGTCACTCGCAATCGCCTACAATCGTCTGCAATCATTCACAATCGTCTGCAATCGTCTGCAATCATTCAAAATCATATGCAGTCACAATGCAATCCTCCAAAATCTGAAAATCGCCTCATAATCCCGGATTGCAGTCACAATCGCAGCAATCGTTGGAAAATCGTAGGGATTGTCGCAATACTGTCACAAAATTCAAGAAGATGTTACTTCCTCGGGAAATACGTAGTTTCTGAGATACACGGTGTCAAAGTTCCAGAAAAAATCATTTCTTTAGCTCAAAAATACCATTTCCAATTTTTTTTTTCAAATTTGACAGGTTTGTTTGTGATAACGAAAGGTATCCTTTGACTGTAATATGATTTGCTTAATCTGAAAAAAATATCAAAGGATTAAAAAAATAGTGACGTGCCATTTTTTTATTTTTACTAAAAAAAACTGTATATTTTTCAATTTTCTGACCACCCTGTATAGGGTGCTGCAATTTGGAGTGTTTCAACAGGAAAAACATACTTGCAGACCAAATAGAGGAAAATTGACTTAGACGTCATGGGATCGATTTTTGAGAAACATCAATTGTCAAAAACCGTATCACGATATCTTCAATGGTACCATTGATACAGGGCGATTTTCGATTTTCCCCTATTATGAAAAATGGCTATAAGTTTTTTATTTATCAATTTTTTTTATTTCTGTAAAAACATGATGGAGACACTTTTTTGAGCACAATCCAGTGGCGGATTCAGTTATTTTCTATATCGCTCCGATTTTGAGATATCGACCAAATTCCGATATTATCAAATGAAACACCCTATATATTAATAGCTCATTGGATAGCTCTGTTTTTGCTGATTTCAATGATATAAAGTTCGATAGGTTTATCTCTAACAGTTTTCGAGAAAAAAAATTATATCTGTTTTTGTCGTAAGTACCAATGTGTTAGAAAAGAATTTTATGTGTGTAAGGAGAATGAGGAAGGTCTCTGTCTAACACATTGCTTCTTATAACATAAACAGATATAATTTTTTTTTCGAAAACTGTTAGAGATAAACCTATCGAACTTTCTTTATATCATTGAAATCAGCAAAAACAGAGCTATCCAATAAGCTATTAATATATAGGGTTCTTCATTTGAAAATGGAATTTGGTCGATATCTTGGAGCGATATAGAAAAAAACCGTGTCCGCCACTGGATTGTGCTCAAAAAAGTGTCTCCATAATGTTTTTACAGAAATAAAAAAAATTGATAAATAAAAAACTTATAGCCATTTTTCATAATAGGGGAAAATCGAAAATCGCCCTGTATTAATGGTACCATTGAAGATATGGCGATACGGTTTTTGACAATCGACGGTTCTCGAAAATCGATCCCATGACTTCTAAGTCAATTTTCCTCTATCTGGTCAGGAAGTGTGTTTTTCCTGTTAAAACACTCCGTACATGCTATTGCAAGTTTTAATAGTATTTTTTCAAGAAGCAGAAACTTTTATAAAGAATAACTTTTTTTCGTAAAATTGATACCTAATAAAAAAGTTTCCCATATGCTGCGAACTTAAGTGGACACACTGTATAATAGATCACCCTGTACATTTTTCCAAAATCTTTTTTTAAAAAAAACCTACCGGTAAGTACTTAGACCAGACCTGTATTAGGTACCAAATTTCCTTCCAAAATTTCAAACAAATTGCTTGATGGAATTTTGGAAATCAACAATTTCATACAAGGCTGTTCACCTTCTCATTACTAAACCGGATTTTAGAGCATGAGTTTATGATACCTTTTTCTTATTTCAGCAGGTTCTACCACCCTTTCTGGGACAGTATTATTTTAAGCCCATTCAAGTCTCTAAATTATTTGACTTCAGTTAAAATATCTTTTATCCCATTTTAACGTTTGAAAATGACATTATTGAATGCATAATAACAAAGGTAAGTAGACGTTTATCACCTGAGTGACTTAAAATATTTTTAACTCACTCTCGGTCTTTTAAGTCACTCTGCCAGTATAAAAATCTGCTAAAAATACAAACAAACAACTAGTTATACCTTAGCAACCACCAATTTCAATAATAAGCGCTTTCATAACTACTAAATGAATTCTGTTTATAATTTGATTCCTATAAAGAACCTTATTTTTTGAATGTCCATCAAAATGGAATAAAATTTTGTATAAATCACGTGAGTTAAAATGTTTATTCATTCGAAGAAAATTAACCCACTCGCTAGAGCTCGTGAGTTAAACTTTCTTCTCATGAATAAACATTCATTTAACTCACTTGGTGTATAAATAACTATTATCCCATTTTGATGTTTAAAAATGACATTATTGAACGCATAACAATAAAGGTAAATAGACGTTTATCACCTCAGTGATTTAAAAACATTTTAACTCACTCTCGGCATTTTAAGTCACTCTGCCCAACTAAAACTCTGACCCCTCAGTGATTTAAAATATTTTCTCTCGGCATTTTTCCTTGTACTTTATTTTTAAAATTTTCACAAAATGGGATACAATTTTGTATACATCACGCGAGTTAAAATGTTTATTCATTTGAAGAAAATTAACCCACTCGCTGGGGCTCGTGGGTTAAACTTTCTTCTCATGAATAAACATTCATTTAACTCACTTGGTGTATAAATAACTATTATTGTAAGGGCAGGGTAAGTAAAAAAGTAAGCCCAGAGAATAAGTCCCTGCCTTTGTCAGTTACCAATAGTGGCTTACCTTACTTGAAATCTCAGAAGACAGTTGTTTATCATTATCTAAGGTCTGTTCACACAGGAATGACAAACCAGTCAGAGTGAATTTCATAGGTGGAAAATAGTCAGAAAACCAGTTTCCACCAATAAAATTCACTGTGACTGATTTGTGATATCTGTGCGAACAAACCTCTAGCAAAATATTTTTGCTGAGAAGTTGAAGAACAAATTCTGATTTAAATTAAAACACAGGGTGGGCCTAAAGGTAAGTACATATAAGTGATAATGTATCTTTGTAATTATTTGTTAATCATTCCTAGTTCATAAATAGCAACATTTCTTACCCTTCTATATGAAAACAGCTCTTTTTGCAATTTGTGTCTTTCAGCACTCTGATGGGGCTTTCCTTTAATAAACTTGAACATCTTGTCTATCTCTCTGAAAACAACAAAAAGAAAATAATAAATAACAAAAATTAAAAATAGTATTTACAAACTTCACACATAACCATTCACTCAAAACAAATGAATTGTTGCACTTGTCAACCCCAAAGCAAAGTCAAAAAACCCTCTTTTGTTTTGATCCTATTCGGCCAACGCCTGCTTGAAAATATTTATAAATCCCGTTTGACAGGAGCCCCCTAATTCGTAAAATTATCTAATAAAACCTTATTTTTACCTTTTAAAAATAAATCCAAATTCGTCTTTGATACGAAAACAATCACAAAACACTAAAAACTGTTCCTAAAGCGATGCACATTACACGTAATTGAATTTATTGTGTGGAAAAAACGGATAGCGATTGGTCACTGACCGGCTGAACCGAACCTAACCGCTGTGGAACGATTTTTAACCAAAGAAAAAGTAGGCGTATACCAAAGTGGATACCAAATTTCTACTCTATAGCATCTAGCGGTTGGAAGAGGAACTATAAAATTTGAAACATGTTTGAAAGAGGGCGCTTTTTTTATTTGCGATTATTGATATCGATAAACATGCAACATCTCTATCGACTTCACTTCTCTATCTCTATTGATTTGGTTCAAGGATGATACTACTACTACTACAGGATAGCCTATCCTCATAAGGCCTGTGTGAAACAAATCCCCCCCTACCCCACCCAAAACCCAACAACCAGTTGTGACGTAAGCAGCATGGCGTTTCTCGCCTTGACGTTGGCTGTTTAAACATTGGTTTAAACAGCTGATGACTTAGTTATGACGTCCGCAATACACCTTTTCACGTCGCTCCGGTTTAAACTAACCAGGTTACAAAACGGTTAGGGGCGGATGTCAAGTGATAACATCACTGAAAATGCCACTTGAAAACGAACGGTTAGTTTTGTGTTTTTAATTTTTGATTTTTCAATATTTTCGCCAGTGCCGTTAAATCTGACCTACCTATTATGTCTACTACGGGCAAACATATCTTAAATGTGAGCAATTCACAATTAATTAATTTGTGAAGAAATATGGGAAGCAAGTTTTTTTTTTCAAAATTGTGGAATTATCCAGTAAGTATTTCATTCCTTTTTATTACAGCAAGCTAAAAAGTGAAAAGTAGGTAGTTTAATTTCTTTTCGTTCAATGCTTAAGATGTGGACCATGGGTGGATAGACCTGCAAACTGAACAATTTTTAATGCACGGTCTACGTAAATCAGGCTGTATACAAGGGAAAACGGTTTTCGGGTTTCAAATTCATAAAATATGATAATATATACAATACACAACTTTTTATTTAGTTTTTACACTTTTCCGTTCCGAACTTTCCCGCTCTCCGTTGTAGGTATATATATTTTTCCTCTAACCGCTCGACGTAACCATATCGCCGAGGCGGTTAGAGAAATGACATACCGTTTTCTAACCCGGTTACAAAGTGACATCTTCGATACCACTCGAATTTGAGCGGTATGTTGCGGTTTGTTAAACCGGAGCCACGTGAAAAGGGCTAATGGTTGAAAACAGTTGAAAACCAATATGGCGACGATTATCAAAAATGAGGTCGATAAGCACTCCTTTAGAGTATGTATTCTCTTTGGATTTGGCTAAGATAGAAAAAGACAACAAAAAATTGTCGCTACTCCCAACAACAGCTCTGTCAAAAATGTCAATGTATGACATCATAACCTCAATTCAGTGTAGTGGTTTGTTGGTGTTTTTATGTGGACTTTTTCTTCTCAATTCTCAATAATAATAATTTTTAATTGTTTATTTGAAAAAACCCGGTCCACTATGTATGAAATTTAAAATAAGATTGTCTAGATGATGGAAGGAGACCATGATAGGAACTCTTTCTGGAAGAAAAACATTAAAAATGTCCCTGGAAGGTATATTTAACTTGTTATGTGGCCAATTTCCAAAATTTATTTATATGTCACCAAATATTTACATGACAGAGCCTATGAATTATTAATATTTACGATGTTTTTGATAAACAATTAAATTAATAATACAAATCGTATGCTTTTAATTTTAGAATGATTGCTAAAATATGACTATACTTTATTAAATAAAAAAATTCTCAATCTCTTGTAGACCTAGTCCCAAACGAGAAGCAAGATCCAACAGTAGTAGTAGCAAAACTAAGCCTCAAGGATCAACATCATTTCAAGATTTCCAGGCGTCTGTGAGCGATGCTTGGGATTTAGAAGATGATGAGTTCTGTACCGGGCTGAAAAGTGAGTAAATTATAATGATTTTACCAAAAGACTCTTGAAAGTTCTTCTATGGCTGCAATATGGGTTCATTTTTTATGAGGCCTTGTATTTTTCTGTCCTAATAGGCCACTTTCATATTTTTCAAAAACATATTTAAATTATGGGACTGAATGCTCGTCCGATAATCGGAATAATAGTGTTTTTGTTTCTATTCCGATTATCGGGTTACTATACTTTATTTTTTCCCAAGATAGATTTTGGCATTGTCAACTTTGAAATATAAATAATGCCGCTTATTGGTCGCTATTGTAAAACTGATGTCAACCTGCAGAAACACCTCATTTTGCGAGCAATCAGGGTCAACTGTTATTGTTTATGTTTCAAAGTTTTCAATGTCAAAATCTATCTTGGGAAAAAATAAAGTGTAGTTTATTTTGTTATTGTTCCGCAAAATGTTCAATTCAATTCAAAATGTGCTTTATTGTGTAAATATAAATATTTGTTCACAAAAGCTGATCCTATGTCTAGAAAATGAAGTACACAGCTGTAGTAAGAGAAAATATCCAAATGTATACCTACTTAAAATAAAAAAGCTCACAAAACATTTAAGAAAATAAAAATCAGTCATAAAAAATAAAACTTAAAACTAAGAGTCACACATAAAACTTAAAAACTCAAAAACTGTTTCTATTCAGGAACCAGAGAAATAATTTAAAATATATAATTTAAAAGAACAGAACATTTTTTACATTGAGGGCGATAAAACGTCATTGTATAAAACTCATATTAAACACGAATAGCATGGGTAACAAAAACGGATAAAAAAAGAAATGACATACAAGACAACACAAAATCAAAAATCATTGAAAAAGTCTTCAATACTATAATAAGTTCCCGCAAGCAGCAGTTTCTTGACCTCCTTCCTAAATTTAACTGGAGAGAAAATTGATCTTATTGAGTGTGGTAGGTAAGTTATTAAACATTTTCTTGCCATTATATATAATTGACTTTCTTACCAATTCCGAAGAGGGAATTGGGAGAGAAAGTTGATGTTGGTGTCTAAAATTATACGTGCGTTCAGCCCCTAACTGATCTTTAAATTTCTTGTGTACAAGACACACACTCTCCAGGATAAACAGCGATGGAAAGGTCAAAATTCTATTATTTGAAAATAAAGGCCTACACGAGTCCCGCATTCTGGCCCTGAACAAATATCTGATAGCTCGCTTTTGCAAGACAAACACACTCTGAAATAATTGTCGGGAACAAGTACCCCAGAAACAAACACCGTATCGCAAATGAGATTCAATCAGGGCGAAGTAAGCATTCCTGACGATTCCCACATCCAATTCACCTGATAATACCCTAATTGCATAACAATTGGATGCCAATCTATTTTGTAAAGAAATAATGTGTGACTCAAACTTTAAGCAGCTGTCAATGAAGATTCCCAAAAATTTATTTTCGGTCAAGTTATTTAGTAAAGAACCATTCAAAAAAATATCCCCCAAATTGCAGCCAAATGACATTACATTAGTTTTGCTTATATTCAAAGACAACCTGTTTGCATCACACCAGGATTTAATAATTTCTATGTCAGGCCTTGTATTTTTCTGTCCTAATAGGCCACTTTCATATTTTTCAAAAACATATTTAAATTATGGGACTGAATGCTCGTCCGATAATCGGAATAATAGTGTTTTTGTTTCTATTCCGATTATCGGGTTACTATACTTTATTTTTTCCCAAGATAGATTTTGGCATTGTCAACTTTGAAATATAAATAATGCCGCTTATTGGTCGCTATTGTAAAACTGATGTCAACCTGCAGAAACACCTCATTTTGCGAGCAATCAGGGTCAACTGTTATTGTTTATGTTTCAAAGTTTTCAATGTCAAAATCTATCTTGGGAAAAAATAAAGTGTAGTTTATTTTGTTATTGTTCCGCAAAATGTTCAATTCAATTCAAAATGTGCTTTATTGTGTAAATATAAATATTTGTTCACAAAAGCTGATCCTATGTCTAGAAAATGAAGTACACAGCTGTAGTAAGAGAAAATATCCAAATGTATACCTACTTAAAATAAAAAAGCTCACAAAACATTTAAGAAAATAAAAATCAGTCATAAAAAATAAAACTTAAAACTAAGAGTCACACATAAAACTTAAAAACTCAAAAACTGTTTCTATTCAGGAACCAGAGAAATAATTTAAAATATATAATTTAAAAGAACAGAACATTTTTTACATTGAGGGCGATAAAACGTCATTGTATAAAACTCATATTAAACACGAATAGCATGGGTAACAAAAACGGATAAAAAAAGAAATGACATACAAGACAACACAAAATCAAAAATCATTGAAAAAGTCTTCAATACTATAATAAGTTCCCGCAAGCAGCAGTTTCTTGACCTCCTTCCTAAATTTAACTGGAGAGAAAATTGATCTTATTGAGTGTGGTAGGTAAGTTATTAAACATTTTCTTGCCATTATATATAATTGACTTTCTTACCAATTCCGAAGAGGGAATTGGGAGAGAAAGTTGATGTTGGTGTCTAAAATTATACGTGCGTTCAGCCCCTAACTGATCTTTAAATTTCTTGTGTACAAGACACACACTCTCCAGGATAAACAGCGATGGAAAGGTCAAAATTCTATTATTTGAAAATAAAGGCCTACACGAGTCCCGCATTCTGGCCCTGAACAAATATCTGATAGCTCGCTTTTGCAAGACAAACACACTCTGAAATAATTGTCGGGAACAAGTACCCCAGAAACAAACACCGTATCGCAAATGAGATTCAATCAGGGCGAAGTAAGCATTCCTGACGATTCCCACATCCAATTCACCTGATAATACCCTAATTGCATAACAATTGGATGCCAATCTATTTTGTAAAGAAATAATGTGTGACTCAAACTTTAAGCAGCTGTCAATGAAGATTCCCAAAAATTTATTTTCGGTCAAGTTATTTAGTAAAGAACCATTCAAAAAAATATCCCCCAAATTGCAGCCAAATGACATTACATTAGTTTTGCTTATATTCAAAGACAACCTGTTTGCATCACACCAGGATTTAATAATTTCTATGTCAGAAGCTACAGCTTCGCCAAGTAAACTTTCATCTGACTTTTGCCACAGTATAGTGGCGTCATCCGCAAACAATGTGAATTTACCCGATATGTTAATATTAGCCAAGTCGTTAACATACAATAAAAATAGGATGGGCCCCAGAACGGAACCTTGCGGTACCCCATATCCTACTTCCTAATGCTCCGATTGTGTACCGTTAAGTGAGACCCTCTTCACTTATCATTTTCGGACTAATAGCATTTAACGCATATTATTCCGAACATTTTTATATTTTTAGAAAAAAGTAGTAAGTAAAAACTACTATCATGATAAGATTGCAGCCCAGTTTATACGAGAACATTACTTTAAGCTCTAGTCAGGCACTATTCTCGGAAAACAACTATGTTGATTTGAGCATCGCGATTTTATAACGAAAAAGCAGCCAGTCAAGTAATTTAACATAATTTCTTTAGGGCCAAATTATGGACCAAATGGTAAGTGTCTGGTTGTTACCTAGCAGGTACTTTCTATTATTTCGAGTATAGAAAGTACCTGCTAGGTAAAAACCAGACATTTACCAGTCAGTCCATAATTTGGCCCTTATCAATGACCTATTAACACAGATAGACAGAACAATAAACAATAATATTAGTCAACCATCCAAGGACCTTTCTTTTCAGTTATACATGTAAACCCCATACTTTGTAAGTGGCTTGCTTACATCAAGTCCTACAACTTTTCCTCTACGACTTTTCTCGGAAATGGCACGTATGCGCGCAGGCGACTCGCAAACATTTTAGGGGTATCGGACTCCCCCAATTTGCCATTATTTTTGTCGGCCAAGTTGATTTCCGTGATTTAGAAATAAAAATCAAACATTATTCGTGAAATTAGATTTTCATGTATCAAGAAACATAACCACGTCAGATCGACATTTTGGGGGTATCGGACTCCCCCAATTTGCCATTATTTTTGTCGGCCAAGTTGATTTCCGTGATTTAGACATAAAAATCAAACAGTATTCGTAAAATTAGATTTACCTACATGTATCAGGAAACATAGCTACGTCAGATCGACATGTTTGCGAGTCGCCTGCGCGCATACGTGCCATTTCCGAGAAAAGTCGTAGAGGAAAAGTTGTAGGACTTGATGTAAGCAAGCCACTCACAAAGTATGGGGTTTACATGTATAACTGAAAAAAAAGGTCCTTGGATGGTTGACTATATCGGTTGACTACATGCCAGGAACTGCATCTCTCCCCACTAATTGACCTTTTCAATTTAAAACCCTCTCTCTCTGGCGTCAAACTGTCAGACGCCAAAAGAGTATGAAAACAACGGTTGACAGCCGCTGACAGTGGTTTGTTGACAAGATTTTTGTACATGTGGAAACTGGAAACTATTATTTCTTCGGTTTTTTCAAAGTTTTTTCCTAACAATAGTGATTGTGTAGTGTGCCTTTTTGTAAAAATAATTCCTATTTACTGGCGGACGTGTCTTTCCATAAGTTTCCATCAAATCCTACATTTGTCAAATTTTGGATACATAAAATCAGAAAGAATACTCGCAAAAAAAAGGGAAATCCACGGCCTATCAAGTATACAAAGTAATCCACGTTCAAGTTTAGTTTGCGGGAGCTGTCTGGGTCCAAAATAATCCACCGCTTTCTCCATAGCGAAGTTCTGCAAATGAAGTAGTGACTTTTCCTGCATTTTCTTTCAAAACACCCCAATACACACTGGAATTGACAAGCAAGCAAATGTTGGCGGGAAAATGATTGTTTTAATACTTTATTGTCCATCTCTTTTAATTGAAAACGTCAATTATTAATCCTTGTGTTATTTTGTATCTTACTTTAACACGTGGAAAGCGATTATTTTTCAATGAAAATTAGCAACGCTGCAAAAAAATAAATCCCACCTCGAATTCCACCTTTCCACCAATC